GCTCCCCGCGGCCCCGCGGCGTGGCTGGGCCTGCGGGTGAGAAGAGGCGACCAGATAAACTTAAGAAAGTGACCATCCGCCTGTTAAACGTCACGTCGGAATCTCCCAGGGGAGCTTAGTGAGAAACCTCAAATTATACGGACCGGCTGTGGACCGTTTAAGTTTTTCCTCGGTCCCTCCCCCGACCTTCCCAAAGAAAAATTAAGCCACCGGGCTTCTTCTTTCCTTTCCTTATTTTATTTCTTTTTTTTTTTTGAGAAAGACGAAGCAACCACAATAATAAAAGCCCAAGAGTTCTGAGTCTAAAGTCACCACCACGCTAGAATCAGGACTTCAAAACCAAAGCTCTCAAAAACAAACACACAAACAAACAAACAACATTAAAGCAAAGTAAGGTTTTATGAGCCGACAGCAGAGCTGAGCAGGTTTGAACATTTCTTAATATCAAACTCCAATCCCAGAGCCTCAAAATACTTAGTTTTCATTTCATTATTTTGAAGTCATAAAACTTGCAATGTTTTCGTATATGTAAAAACCAGCTTTTTAGGTAACTGGAACTTGTTACTTTATTCACTTGGGGAAAAAATCCTAGTTCTTATTTTCTCTAACAAACCCATTTCTACTTCCTCATTTCTCTTGTGTTTTGTTAAAAAAGAGTCAGATACATATTAATAGTTCTCCCATGATACATATCAGAGAAAATAGCAGCAAAGAGCGTCCCTTTTCTGACTCTATTCCTACTGTAAGAATGCCAGAGAGAAATTATAAGAAAGGTTGTCATTTTCTTGTACTAAAGGGCCCTTAATTTGTAACGAAGAGGCAATATGTACAATGGTTAGGAACTCTGATCTTCTAGTACCATCACTACAAAAGTGAGTTATTTAAACATTTAGAGCCTTAATTTCTTCATCTGTAAAATGGGGAAACAATAGTTTCAACCTCAAGAGATGTGTGAAGAGTCAGTGGGGTAATGCAAACATGTGGCACATAGAACGCATTCATTAAATATTACCTGTGGTTACAAGCGGTGGTTAGAGATTAACTTTTGAAAACAAGCAATTTTCTAATTCAGAATATTCTTTGTTCAGAGGCCTCATAGTCAAAAAAGTGTCAAGGTATTTTGTTACAAACAATAGGAGCGCATATAAAGCAGCTAGCACAGTAGAAAGCATTTAACAGGTGCTCAGTGATTTTTATTAGGTCATCATTTCTTAGAATAACATCATGAAGAATAGTTAAAAATAGTACCTAATTCCCACATATATTTGATGAACCCAGGATAGATGTGTGTGTGTATATACATATATATAAATATATATATACATATATATACATACATATATATGGCAGTGCCATAATCCAAAAACTTTTATGATAATTTTTGCTTTTTTTGAATTATAGATCTAGTATTTAAACTTGTTTAGAAATGGTCATCTATACAGACACTTCAAAACTAAACTTACCTATTTAAATAAAAATAGAACACTGTTTTGAATGATCTACTCTGTATATTCTGAACGTTGAAAATTGATTACTTTTAATTCACTGAATATTAAATCACTAAATTATCAGATTTATAAAAACAAGTAGTTTAAAGAAGCAAGTGGTCAAAAGTATTGTTCTAAATACTTAAGAAAACAAGTTAAATTTTTTCCAGAAGAAAGCCATATTTATATCAAATTTACATTTGGAAAGTTCTTAATTGCAATATGCTAATCTTCTGCATTGCCATACAGTAAGATAATTCAGATGATATAAAATTTCAAAACTTGAAAAGTTTCTAAAGACAATGAAACCAGCGATTACTCTATTACAATGATCAAAATAGTGCTTAATGCTGCAGGTGTGCTAAGTAGACTGTCATTTATGAGCAATTTTGGAATTTATATTTTATTCTTAAACTAATTAATTATACATTTTGAAAAATAACACAGTTTAAAGAAAAAGTTAAAGATGTACACCTAGCTACAATTAAGTAATTCACTAGAATTAAAAGATCCTCAATACAGGCATAACCAGCATTTTTTTGGGATTTAGATACTCATTTCCTTGAAGACAAAATTATACATTTATATTTGATCTTAAACATGCAAAGGTAAGGGATGGTGTGTGTGTGTGTGTGTGTGTGTGTGTTTATCTTTGTATTTGAACAAAATTTGAAAGTCTTTGGAAAAAAATATTCTCAAAACTTTTACAATAATACTTTCAGGGCATTTGCAGTTGTTATTAAATAGTACAATATTACATGATCCCAGTTTTATTTTAGTATATAAAGGAGGAAATTGAGAATTCGGGATTATAGGATTTAGACCATAATCTATACCAGAAGACACCTGTGAAATTACCCAAGAGGCTGAATTGACAAGTGATTGTAGGTAGAATTGATTGTAATCTAATTTCCATTTTCATTTTAAATGCAAAGATGCCTGATTGCTAGCAATTAGAACCTTATACACATTGGTACACTCACCTATCTTTTGTTTTTAAAACATTAGTTTAGAATATTTAAATTAATATACACTGTAAATGATAATTTATAATGCCATTGATAAATCCTTATTGCCTACCACTGAGGACATGAGAAAAATAATATTTATCAATTTTGTCTTTTTTTCACCCACATTATGTATTGGGCTAGAATCCTTTAATCTCATGTAATTCTGAATGGCAACAATGTTCTCTGGTTCTTAATGGCTGGTTCTTTTCTGTTGAAATCATAAAACCTCTATTGAATGCAATTGAATGGCAAAAGAAATATATAGAGAGAATAATGGGTTAGACTATAGCTATCCTTTTACAAGGTACTTAGTGAATCAATGTCTCATTTTATTTAAACAGTTTATAAACAGTTGTATAGCTTTTGAAAAATGTTCTACAATTGGGCAAACTTTCTCAGAAAAAAATTTTTGCAGATATGGTACTCTAATTAAAGTATCTGAATGGTAGATTTATAAGTTTTGAGTATTTTCATTTTTGGGTAGTATATATTTAACTCAGCAAGCTTAATAAGATATTAGCTACAAATAGAGATGTCAGAAATGAAGAAAGGTCTATAAATACTCAAAATTAAGAAAAAGTTCAGAGGTGTGAAAATAGTTGAATTTAGAGGCATAAATTAAACATCTTAAGAACATTTATACATTGTTTTTGAAATAAAGGTAGTATTTCAGAATATTGAACACAATTTTCTAGTGCATTATTTTAAAAACTGGCAGTCCTTGCAGACATATTGTTCCTGTAGACATGCTGTTCTTGTGAAAATATGTTATTTTGCATTGGATTTTTTAAAATTTCAAATAAAGTTAATTTCGTGTTAAAAAATTTATCATTTTGTAGAGAGAATGCAATTGTAGGCTAATGCCAATAGTCTTTGAAATTCATAATGTTATCTATTATGTAAAGCATTCTTTGTCCCAGTTAGCTTTTAACTATTAGTGTTTTAAAACAAAATTAATTATTACATATCAGTTAAATGTGTCATATAAAATACAAAAGAGCTGACTAAACTTTTAAAGGCTACATCAATTTTAATAACATTTGGAAACATAACATTTAGAAAAAAAAGCTTAAATGATCAGTTTTGCATTACCTAGAAACATGTAGATCTTCAGTGGGATAACTAAGCATAATTAAAATCCTTTGGATAAATGTTGAAACCATATTTACAACTGTCATTTGATTTTATCAGGTTTGTTTTGCTAAGTTATTGCATATTGAACTAGGACATTTAAAATGACAGTCAGAAAAATGATTTCACCAAAAAAGAAAGTCTTGTTTATGTTCAGATCTGAACCATTTTCTTGCTTATGATATATATCGAGGTTGAAATTCTAGGTGAAGCACATCTCTATTTGTGGCTAAATCTACTTCATTTTAAAACCAAGGTAAACTCATTTTATCATAAGGGGAGGACTAGGTATAACTGATGAGTGGATAAAAGATTGTCAGTAGAGGATTTGGCACTGCTATTTGTATTTTCTTCAAGAGAGAAAATGTTCAGTAGACAATTTCCAGAATTTGAAGAATAATCTATAACCTATAATTGCCAGACAGTTGTCATACAAGGTTTTATTTTTTTGTGGCCATTAGTGTTTGAATACTAATGCATTTCCATTTTCTCGGGGGTGGTAATAAATGGAACGCCCATCAACCAAATAATGAAATGGCTAGGTTAGGACTTTTATTTACTTTTTTCAACGGCTTTATTCATTTTGCTTACTTAAAGTATAATACTTATTCTGTGATAAAGAGTACCTGCATTTTTAAAAGCAAGAGTATGACATGTTTTGCTTTCAAAAGATTGCACTAACTTAAGTATACAAATGGTTATGAAACACCTGTAAAATGTGTCCTGTTTTGTGGGGATATGAGATGATTAAGGCAAGTCCCTGTCCTCTAACTGTTTATAATCTAGCTCTTTGCCAATACAAATTATCAACATATTCACTTAAAAATGATATTCTTAAGAATTGGCAAATCTATATTTCTAATATTTTTGAACCAGTGAAATGAACACATACTTTTCATTCATTCTTGTAATAACTTTAACCAAACTACATTGCATTTTATATTTTTTCTAGGTAATTTTCTTTAATGTTGGTGGGATAAAATCTGTCTTTTTCTAAAAATGTTCAACAAATCAAGTGACTTGCTTTATTCAGGCTATACAATTTGACTTGTATTAGTAAATCTCATTCTCAAAATTAAATAGTTAATAGTTTGCTTCAGGGAGGACCCTTGTACAGTTCTTTGGAGGAAAGGATTATCTCATTGCTTTCAAGGAAGATGTGCATTAAAAAAAGGGGTTGATGGATTGAGGTCTTATTTATGGAATCTTTAGGTAAAGTCATTTTCAAAAATGAGATTTCCATTACATGCCCAATGCTAGGGTTTCATTTGGAAAATTTGTTTACTCTTCCCTGGGGATTCCATATTCCATATGTTGGTTGATTTATAAATCATATTTACAATCCAATTAAATAGAGTAATTTAGCATGTTTGCTCCCACTATATTTATGGTGTACATTTGGTAGTCTCTACTCAGCCTAACTAGCTTTTCAGATTAATTACATGCTCTTTACTGAAAATATTAAGCAGATTTGGGGTGTTTAAGAAGTGTACTCTTTTACTGGAAAGAATAAACAAACATCAATGCTACCTGTAGTTGTTTTCCTTTGAGGTGGAAAATTTTGCTCTTTCAGTGATTGCTTCATAAATAACAATTACTTTACCTAGTAGAGATTTATATCTTTTACTAATGTCATGTTTCAGAATTAATAGTGAGAAAATTGATGTATTTAGTGAGTCACTAGTATGAATGGTGAAGGTGGCAGTTACATCTTAAAGCATGTTTATTCTCTCATCTTGCTTATGGTCATTTCCTACCTAAATTTCTAAATCTGAACTTTAAAAGTAAAAAGAAAAATTAAGACAAAACTTTCACTCCAAATCTAGGTTGTAATTTAACCTGAGGGAAAGTCCAGAGCTATTTTTACATTGTTTAAATTAAAAAAAATTTTTTTAAGTAAACATTTTAGCCTCCTTCTGCCTTTTTGTGGATGTCAGATCTCTCCCAGCTTTCCTTCTCTTCTGCAATACAGAGGAGACTAAAATGACTCTAACTATATTGCAGATTTTAGAGAACTTTGAAATGTTTATACTAATAGGAATAATAACACAAAAGCAGGTTTGGTGCTTGACAAAGAAATGCAGTCATAGAATAAGTAAGGTGCCTGAAGGTAGCATGGGCCTAAATCCAATGTTCTGCCTCCTCCTAATTCCCCGGAACTCTGAAGTGAGACTGTATTCCAGCCTGGTTTCTCAGGGGGAACAGTCCTGGGCAAAAAAGAAGTGGGTGCTTGTAAAGATATTGTAGACATCGCAACAAAACACTTGAGGAGCCCCTAATCAAAGGGGTATAAGGGGAGGAAAGGGAAGATGACAAAGCAAGAGTTTCAGAGAGCACTGTCATTTTGAATGATAGAAAAATACAAAGATCAAAAGAATGGGAAGAAAAAAGTTAGTTATGCTGACAAAGAAAACTCACCAACAGGTTTTTTTTCTACTAATAAGAGTGTTGTTTCTGTCATGTATAATATTAGTAATCTAACCTTATGTATTTGTAAAATGTTGAGCAAAGATGCTCATTATTTTAATTTGAACCTCAACATTTTAATCTTCATATTCTTACGTTATGATTCTTGGTGCACATTGGCATCAATAATATATATTAATTAATGCCAGAATGGAAGAGCCGAACGCAGATGCAACCATCTTTCTATAACTGACCTGGAATGATTCCTTTCCAAACTAATTCCTCACAGGCTATTAGGAAAATCCCAAATAAACATGATCAGAACTATAATCTTGATGCAATGCTAGCGTTCTCCTGCAACTTGATAGCTTAGTATATTCATGCTCATCTGCCGAGAGCCTTAAAGTGCCTCCTGTGAGCCATTTTCTAATGAGCCATTCTCAGAAAGGAGGAAAAATATATTTTTTTAGAAGTCAAGAAACAGAATGAGGATACAGCAATGAGAATCTAGAATAAGAAAGAATATTTTACCAGATGTTATCTCAAAATATGCCCTAGTTTGAGATTAAATTATGTCTGTCTTTTAATTGTCAAGCAAAAGCAGAAAAATATTTGCTACAGAAGATCCCGTGTCAGACAGGGATGGTAACTTCTTTGAAACAGGGCCACTGACTTGCCAATTGCCCTAGAGTAAATGGCTAAAATCCTTAACCTGTATTATTGGGTATAAAAAGAGAACAAAATTTATTTATGTTAAATAGTGATGTGCAATGATTAGTTTGTTTAAGAGTACATATCACCTTTTGGGACCCGTGTAATGCATTTTAATTTTAATTCAACATTGTGTTGTACTCCTTATATGTTATCTTATAATTATTATAAACTCAACAGTACAATACAGCCCTCATTATTTGATAAAATGTGTTGAATATTTCTTCGTGGTAGGACATACTCAAGAAATCTTAGCTTCCTTTCTCCTTCCCAATTTTTTAAAGAACAGGCACTTTGACCAACAGAACATGAGGTATATGCTCTTACAGACCAAGGACACAAGTTTAATTCCTTTACATTTATTCTTACTGCCAGAAATTCATAATTTAATTCAGTTAAATCACACCCATATATGTAGTCTACTCCAAATATCATTCTAAATTGAGAAAATAATTTTTGAGACCCCACCATTGCATTCTCAGAGATGTGTAAGTGAAAATAATAACAAAATGAATTAAATCAGAAAACAATTTCTATGTTGCAACTGAACTGGAAAAAGCATCTAATTAACATATGTCTGCTTTACTTACCTCTAAGGATTAAATGAGTTTTACTAATAAGAAATCTATTATTTGCATTTTACTTTCACTAGGAAATATGTTGCTATGGAATTCATTCACATCACTACCAGGAAAAAGGATTTACTCTTTCTTTTTAAATCATGTAGAAACTAAAGGGAAAATTAAGTTATTTGAAGAAGGATGCTGAGTGTTCATGCCAAAATCAGATTGGAAATCAGGGTGTTTTTAGTGTTGTTAATAGTAACGATACCAACAATAATTGGATGCCAGTAGAGTACTGGTTTCTAGGCAGATGTGACTGCCAGAGCTGCTGCATTTGTTTGCAAACAGATTTTACATGTAAATTCATTTCAAGAGATTTATCCATGTGGCTTTTAAAAATTCACATCATGAGGCCTCAAAACTTTGCAAGCAAATCTTCCAATTTCAAAACCACACATGTGCAGTTCTTTTATAGTTGGATAGCCAGCTTCCTTTTTGATAAAATAGCTCTGGAAAAAATACCCCCAATCTTCATTTAAAAACCCTTAAAAGACAAACTGTCTGATTTTGCATGTCCTTCGTCCAATAAGCATTTACAGCATGATGTTTTAAAATACCGTCCATGTTTTATTTAGCAAAAGTTGCACTCATTTTGAGTTTCTAAACTGACAGCCCACACTCTGTGCACCCCCCTTTCTGGAAATGAAAGCTACACCAACCAGGCCCTTCACAAATGGCTCAACAAAAGAGCCAAACAAAACCGAAGTACGGGGAAGGTTGACAAAGGCATATGGATAGCAGAACAGATTCTAAGAGTATTTAATCACCACTAATTCTTTCCTCACCCTGCATAGCCTTCCTATAATTCTGAATAGCAAAGCAAATACTGTGAATTTTCTGGTCATAGCCTCCTCATAACCTTTGTGGAAAGAATAATATCTTGTCTCTTGGCATTATGTTTGTTTAAATAGCAAGACTGTGAATGCCTTTAGAATATGCTTAAGGTCAAACCGTAAAAAAAATCAGAAAGTAGAATCAGAATATTGTTAGCTACTACCACTCAAAACTTACAGTCTGCTTCTCTCTAAGAACCCGTGAAATGTCAATTACTGGAATGTGATTATTTTCACCTCTTCTCTTTTCCTACTCTTCTTAGGCACCAAATGGACTCCCAACTGTGAGCAGTTTTGTGTCAGCATCCAGCATGGCTCCTTATCCTACCCCGGCCCAAGTGTCGCCTTACATGACCTACAGTGCTGCTCCTTCTGGTTATGTTGCTGGACACGGATGGCAACATGCCAGTGGCACCCCACTTTCCCCCCACAACTGTGACATTCCCGCATCGCTGGCATTCAAGGGCATGCAGGCAGCCAGAGAAGGTAGTCACTCGGTCACAGCTTCCGCACTCTGATGGGAAGTTCTGTCTGCAACAGCTTCACCAGGGCCCCCTCAGCACACCCGCCCCATCTCCCCCACCCTCAGAACGCACCCCCCTTTCCTCCCTCCCTTCTGCCTGGAGAGCTGCTTTTACGGACTCACCTCCTTTGTGCTGGTGACACTTAAATATTTCTTGCCATAACTTCTCTTTCACAGAAAACCTGACATGATGTTAGGATTCAAAAACAAAAGCAATATTAAGGACTGAATGAGACATTTGTGCTGCCCACACACTGTTTTAATGTCGTGAAGAAACCTGCACCCCTCAAAGGGCTTAAGGAACTTTTTAAATGATTCTTTGGTAAAACCACATGTGTATATTTATTCTAAATCAACCTAAACTTTTGAAACGTGCAATTGTTGAGATTTCACAAAATCAATAAAGGAAAATACATATAGAAGAAAGTTATGCTACACCCTCTAATCAAATAAGGTGACCAAATAAGCCTTAATTCATCATTAGGAAACCAAACAATAATTGATTTGAGTGATCCTTTATTTTTAAGAGATGACCTGTTTTGTTGGAGAATATATGTATAACACAAGCAATATCTGAATTTAGCTCCTCCCGGTATTTTGGCTTGGTTCCAAATATGACAATGTTTATATTTCTATTAGTTTGTAAATATGGACTCTGGATGGTGCATTTGTGTTTTCATTCCATGGGGTGTCCCCCTCCCCCACTCCTCTATTTTTTCTTTCTTTTTGCAAAGGTGACTTTTTGGCAACGTTTTTGTCTCTGTTTGGTGGTGGGCTGCTCAGGCTCCTGGATCTGGACTTGCCATAAATTCTGTGTATGCAGGGAAGGCTTCAACATCGCATGAAGGACATTTTCTTTCTACAGCAGAGAATTCCAACAACAGATAAAACAAGCCAGTCTCCTATTCTGTACCCTAATCAGACAACACACGTGCCAAACATACAAAGACAAGGTGGAAAAGGTTTGAACAAGAAGGCTCTAAAGGAAGTCACTTAGAAACTCAACGTTTAATGTGAAAAGCTTTGCAAAGACACTTAAAATGAACTTTCTGTTAAGAAAACCACTGTGAAACTAAATTGTACTGTTATTGTTGGCTAACCTGTGTGTTCAGCAATCTCAGCCCAAAATTACGTTGTAATTTAAAGAAAATGGGAAATTCTGCTCTAATGAATGTAAAAATGGCTTGCTGTGAAGTTTACATTGTTGTACAGAAGCATGTTTCACATGTAGGTAAACTGGTGGTGGTATTAGTAATACAGATGCTATTTAATTTTTAAAATTTCCCTTTATTCATTTCTGGAGTTACAGGACACTGTTTAACTGGTAAATCTTTCTAGACCAATTTTAACGTTAATAATAGAGCTGTGGGGCATATGTGTGTGTGAACGTGTGATTATATGTTGCATTTTAAAACAATTGATTTTCTTGGGCAAAATTCTAGTTTTTAATCTCTTCTGTTTAGAATGTTCTTCCTGTTTGGCAATATAGGCTTAAAAATATGTTTGTAAAACATTGGTACAATTCACCTGTTGGAGAATTAATATATTGCAAGTTTTTGGTATTAATTCTGTGCAATAACTAAAAGGGCACATCACTTGATATGGTTGTTAGAGATGGGTTAGGTGATTTTGATTTCTTCCTTTCTGTGCTGTGCACAGCCTATATGGCAATCAAGTTATCACATTGGTTTCACGGCTTCATTGAACACTCAGATGGCTAGATTAGCTAGGTTTTCAAATCACTAGGATATAAACAGTAAACAGATTTCTGACATACAAGTTATGTTCAAGGAATTGTTTTCTCCAAGCAGCAGATATCTTATAGAGAGCTTTGAACTGCATTTATTTTTAAAGCAATTGAAATTCAGTGCTACAGATAGAGGATTATAACTTCAGGAGAAGAAAAAGCAGAAGGAGCAGATGAACTCTCAGGGCCATAGTCTTCCTTTGATCTTGTAAAACTCCTATTGACATCTGGAGTTCCTAGTCTGGTGAGAAAATAGACTATAAACCGAATGGAACAAAGATACCAATCCAATATCTTGGTGGAGACTTTAAAAGCATACCACACAGTGACTCTGCTGCCGTCTAGAAAAACTGACATAAGGTACAGAATTTTTCCTTATCAGATGCTTTTAGGTGGCTATTAGGAGTCTTTAAAAAACTATCAATTGTTTGTATGGAAACATAACTAAATGTTGTTTTCTTTATCTAAATTAAGAAATCTCTTGTTATTATGCTATTTATAATTTTTCTGGTTCTTGTATTTTTTTTTAAAAAATCTAATATTAATGATATCAAAGTTTTCTTTCCCCCCCCTCCCCTTTAGGTCTTTTCTTAGCAACAGTGAATTCACATGAAATAAATTTAAAAGGACAACAGAAACCCCCAATACAATTTGCTACTTAAAGCAATTATGATTTAAAGCTACTCTTAAAAATAAGAGAAGGAAAATGGAATGAGATATGGGATTTTTTTAAAAACATTATTATTATTGGTTAGCGTTGACATATTTCCTCTGTTTCTTAGCGGGTGAAAATGTTTTAAATTGGCAAATGCACTCTTCAGAGATCCTTTTCCATCCCATCCACATGGAGAGGTTAAAGGTTCAATTTCATGGGCTCTGTGCAGGCAGTGCTCTCACAGGATGCAAGAGTATTACCTGCAAGGATAGAATGCAGTTGTATAACAGACACATTCTTATTTCTCTTGTTTGTTCCTTTTCCTACTTTTAATGACCCTCTTGAATAATGGGCTGAACTATAAATTAAGAAACACGCTGGAAAGGATGTACAACCGAAGGCTGTGTATGTATATACAGTATGTCAAAAAGCCTTTATTTTTATACTTCAAATGCTCTAAATTAATAAAAAGTAATAATTACCATGTTATCTTTTATTTTTTATTTTCAAAATGCTTTAATAACATAGCCTCATGGTACAAATATCCCATAGAAATAGTTAAGAACAGGTGTCACCTACAAAGTGCAGATATTTTTGGTGACTTTTGGCTACTGAAATAGCATCATTTAAGGATGTAGATATAAAATCCTTTGGTTATATCAAGGCCAAGAAGATATTTTTTTGGAGTGCATGTTAGCATAGGAACCTTTGAAATGCTAAGAATGTACTTCTATTTTGAAACATTTTTCCTGAATAATACATATTTTAGCACTGCAAAGATCATACTCCACACCTGTAGCTGTCACCAATAACTAATACCCTGGCAATGTACTTTACTTTGAATGTTCTTTCAAGAATGGCATAGGTAAGAGTTCTGAACACAGGCACTTGGGTACAAATACAGACAGCACACCTGGGTCCAAGAAGCGGTTCCAATTTGTTATTTAACATGAACATATTTCAGCAACAAAACTTGTTTTCAAAGGGAACTATGTGAAGAAAAGCAGTTTAATATAATTTCATGTTTTCTATTTGTCGTAAAAGACTGCAAATATTAGGAGTTTAAAGTATGACCTGATTCAAACAACAGTACAGAATATAAAGCAGATTTAGGAAAATACAGCGGAAACGTTAATTATTACTAGAAAACTGAACAGATTTGCATTTTAACATAAAAGTGAACACATTAAAAAGGCATTTTAGTGCACCTTTAAAATACTTTATTTGTGACTTTTACATATTATTTATGGAAGAGTTAAATTTTTAAAAAACTTTAAATTTTGGCTTTTTTTTTTCTTTAAGCATTTGTTGGTCTCCTGGGGAAAAATAATTATCAATACAATAGATTTTCATTGTGAACCAATGTAAATAAAACATAGGTCACAAAACTTATATTGCTTTTATGAAATATTTCTGACTTCTACACTATTTTTCTATATTCAGCTTGCATACCGAATTGCTTCATATCATTTTTATTCTTACAATTTTATGAATATGGCCATAACTACAGTCTCAAATTGTCTAGAGATAATTTTTGAAGTATCAAAATAGATTCTGATCTTAGATAGTTTCCCCCTTTATAATTGTACATAAATTATAATTTATAACTGTATCAGATTAGCTGATTGATAGTTTCAAGGTGCTGTAGAGCAAATATGCATTATCTCCAGGGGTAAAAACACGTCATAGGCAATCACCAGTTCTCCTGAAGCCATGAATAGGTATATTCATAAACCAGCAGCATCACTGCACCACCTAGAAAAGAAAAGAGCTGGCTCTTATCACAATCCTGTAAAACAGGGATGTCTTTCCCCCTGAGAAGTCCCATGCAACCCATCGGGCAGGGGCTGTTTAGAATCATTTCTTGAGCTCCAATATATAGATATAAAACTACTGTGGAAAATTCTCAGAGCAAAATCAAGACCATCTTCAGTCTCCAAATACATTTTTCCCCCATGAGTTTTTGTAACTTTCATCATTTCTCATCAGATTCCTTTTCAGGCACTTTTAATTTTTAAAAGTAAATAAATATAGACATTTAGTCATGTAAGAACATGTGGCTTTCCTGCAAACAGAAGCCTTCAGGTCCTTCATATGTAGGCAAAGGATTTATCTTTTTCAGTCCATAATTAGCATTGTTGTAGTTGCATTCAAGAAGAAAATCTCTAAGATGGTGCTTGACGAATGAGGCTGCTTTTCTCTTACAGCTTTCAATTTGGATTGCAATGTGAAAAATAGCTTCTGAATATTAAAAAAATATGTATTGCAAAACTAAGCTAGCTTTCAACCTCCTTTTGTTTCCATTCCTTTTATCTGCCTAGGACATATATGGATTGCACTTGAAAATTTGGTAGTAGGGGTGGGTGTCATAAGAGCACCATTTGTCTTGGTAGAGAAGAGTTATATAACTGGCTGCAAAGAGGCTTGCTATGTAATATGTCAACAGGAATATGATACAGGAAAACAGGCACAACCCTGTTGAATACCTAGACATCAGGAGAGCATTTGTATGGGGGCGATTTTGTGTTCTATCTAATGCAGTAAATTGCACATGTTCTGTGTCCTTTAAGACAATCTCTATTTCTCCTCTCATGTCTGTGTGAAAATGATTACAAAACCAAAATGTGGACAAACATCCTCAGCACAACTTAGAGAAGACTTGGCTGAATGAACAGAAGACTGACTTCCAACAGAAAGAAAGAGAACTTGATTTTAGTTCTTTTGTACACACTGCCATATGCTTTCTAAAAAACCTACAGGCTGCACATGTTTGTGTAACTTTATACCAAAGATAATTATCTGCCTGTAATTTTCATTTTTAACCCATGAAGATACTCTACTAGACCCGTCTCACTGCTGTAGCCCTCTTGGCGCTCTGGCAAGCGAGGAGGAACGCATTGCAGAGGGTTGTGGATATGTATGTAACTGCAGTGTTTACTCTTATTAACTATTCACAATGTAAGAGAAGAACACACAGAACTGGGCTAGTTTACAGGCTAGTGATATTTGAAGTTTAAACCACAGACTTCAAGATTCTCCCTTCATGCGAGGCACCTATCAGTGGCCACACAGAGTTGCTAAGGCTGTTACAAAACAAGATGAGATGCTTCTTCAGAATGAAGAATGGAAATTCTAGGCTCACATCTCTCTCTCTCTCTCTCTCTCTCTCTCTCTCTCTCTCTCTCTCTCTCTCTCTCAAAAGAAAAATCATTTTACCTTACCTTTCTCTTTACCTTCTGTCATTTGAAGTTGGTAGGACTTGCACGTTTGGAATGAGAGTGAGGCCAGGTCTTAGAATGAGATTTCTAGTTACCCAGTATTGTTTAGCTTGGATAGAACATCCACAACAACCCTTTTCACTGGATTTAACACCACCACAACTCAGGATACCTCATGCAAAAACATTTTAAAAAGCCAACCAAACATTTGCATGCCTCTAACAAAACTTGGGGTCAGATTATTTAAAGAGTTTTGGATTAAGTTTCCAGACAATTACCGTTTTAGTTAAACTCTCCAGGGTCATCACCCTTTTCAGGCCCACCCCCTCCTGAGAAAGCTGGGTTAGGGCCAGTCCTCTGATTTTCTCTAGTGCTAGGTCTGCTAGCAGGTTTTTACTGTGTGGTGAAGGAAAAACACCACATACAGAGAGAATTGCACCAAATCACCAATATTCTTATCATTGTGTCCTTTTTTTTTTTTTACTATCGGGCCAAAGACTAACAGAAGGCAGGTCTGAATCTCAAATGTGAAGCAAAATCCATGCTTAAATGTCTAGAAAATTTGGGATAGATGGATCTGGAATTGAGGAAGCGTTTTCTAAACACAAGAAACTGTGAACTGTTTACCAGCTTCAATTTACAGACTTTGTTCTCTATCCCAGGTTGGTAGAAATGCTGGTTCATTGGGTTGAGATTTAAGGGTAAATGTGTACATGTGTGAGTACAGGAGGAGAGGAGGACATTGCTGTTAACAGAGGAATAGGAAAAGGAGAGAAGGGAGGAGGAGGGGGAGGTTCTAGGAAACATGACCAGGATGTCTAAGTAGGTGAGTGTGGGCTGGTTAAAAAAAAAAAAAAAAAAAAAGTATATACTTCCGTACTTACTCACAAGGTTGCTTATAATCCAACACTATTTGCCCAGGCGGTTGAGTCTGTAGCAGTTATTTTCTTATCTATTTACATAGAGGCAGCCAGGAAGGCTGCCAGTGTTTGTGGGCTGGTGTCCTGAGGTGAGGCCCTGAGCCAGGAGCCACCACCACCAGGCAGAGACCAGGAAGGCGCACCAGGCTGCGCCTCACCACTCCCCAGAGGTGACCATGAAGACAAGTGGCTCTTGCTGCTCATGGAGGCAAGGCTGCCTCCTTTTCTCTTTTTTGAAATGAAATTGAGGCAGGAACAAGAAGAAGGGGCACCAGGAAACTTTTATTGGGCTGGTCCCTCCCCCACTGAAAATCCTCCCCTTCAGTCAGAAGCCAGACCTGGGTGCTCACTCCAACTCCAACTGGCTGTGGATCCTTTCCTATTGACTTAAGCTGGGCTTTGGCTTCTGTCCGCCTCCAGCAAGGCCATAAATAGTACCTTACAAACAAAGGCAGGACATTTCTAATGGACACAGTAAGCATTTTGAATACTCAGAGGCAACTCTATATCCTCAAGATTTCTGCCTTTCGCAGTGGAATAAACTTTTATTGTGTTGCTGTTAGACACAAATTTAAAAAAAGACACTAGAACTTAATAAAGAAGGAAGGATATAAGTAATAAAAACACATTTACCTGGTCCAAGCCTCATAATCTTGGGAAGCAGGCCTTTGTACAAAGCTAAAATCCTATAAGTGAAAAGAAAAGAAAAAACTCAACATTCTTTTTTTGAAAACAAAATGGAGTTGTACCTCAGCTCTACTGAAATGCTAACTCAGCATTTATAAAATATTTATTTGAAATTATCTTGCTAAATAGTCTCTGCAACAAATTGGACAAGGGGGAAGAGTTCATTAATTCTTCATTGTCCAAGCTATACTGGCCTTGTCCAATCAGAAATATGATTTTCATCACATGATGGCTTTTGCTTTCAAGACAGGCCTTACTTTCAAGACAGCTATGTATTTGGACAAAGTGACTTCTGTAATTGAATTTAAAAGACCAAAAACTCAGTCTTCACATAAGGAAATATGATGCAGTTTAGATCAAAATGATAAAAATCACTTGTTTACTTAGAATAAGACTTGGGTGAGGCAGGATCAAGAGACAAAAGTAAGATTTAAAAAAATTTTGACCAGCAGAATAAGGCACATATATTAAAAATTTAAAAGAAAGATACTTTCACAGAACTCTCATGTTTAATTGTCCCAGGAGAATATGATTAGGTGACATTTTGATTAGATTTACAGACAGAAGACAATGATTCTCTTGCCCATGTGTCAATAGGGCATACAATATGCAGCAACATTTTATGCAAACTGGCAAGCAAAAAGTGCATATTAGTATTCTAAGACAAAAATGCAGCATATTGTAGAGTGGCGGCTCACGGTTCTTGATGGTATAAGAATGTTCTGCTAACATCTCATTATTGCATTAGCTGGCGAAGTTTGTCATCTATTCCCCAGAGCTTCTCAGACACACCCCCAATTTAGGAGGGCTTAATGGCTCTCATCATAATGGAAGTATAATACGGTTTGGACAATCCTTGAGGGTTGCTCATTTATTAAGTTAAGAATGTGTTACCCTTCTTCCTGATAGACTGTGGCCATTGTTTTAAAACAGGTTCTGTACTTGATCTCTCCAGGAACTGGCTGAGGCCCTTGAATCCTACTTTTGGCAACATCAAAAGGGATGTTAATGACTGAGGCTATTGTTCCTGACAGAAGACCAATCCCAAATTTTCGCAAAAACTCCAAGGTTGGATCCTAAAAGAAAAGAAGAATACAATAACAGAAAGGGAAGCGGAAGCCCCTAAATCGGTTAAACACTAAAGCAATATGTATTCAAGCAGAGCACTGCGCTCCCCGGCACCCTCCTGCTATTCCAGCGGAACACATTAGGACTTCCTAGGCTGGAACTTGTTTTCTTGACAATCCCATTGGCTATGTTTTTACACATGGTCTAAATTGCTGAAG